CCAAAAACTAGCAGCATATCTTCCCATAAACCAGCTGCTTTGTGGAACTGACTCCCAAGAGGATGCTTCCCCAATCACTATGATCTTAACCTGCTCAAATCTAGGGTTAACTGTTATCATATAAGCCTATAAACTGTTCCTATTACTCTGTAACACTCTACCTTGAGTAGCTCTTAGTCCCTGTGCTGAGTGAACATTATTATAAAAAAAAGGTGGGGGTAGGGACATGCCCAACTGTATCATTATCATATTAATTCTGTTTGTTCCTTCATTTCTGAGAGAGCATCTATGTTATGCTCTGCTATTACCTTAGATAAACAATGGACCATTCCTGTATGGTTGTGAGGACAAACAGAAGGAAAAAAATGTATCAAAGGTGTTCTTTGGTTTTACAAAAAGAAAGAAAGGCAAGATAGATGATAATGCTCTCATGTTTTTCACGTCTGCTTGTTTGAAATTGAAAACTTGTCAACTTTTAATCTTTTCATTTGTCCTTATATTTATGATTATTATTGCAATATTTTGTTAAAGTTGTTGTTAAGCTCAAATATTTATCAAGGCAATAGGGGAATTTCCAAAGGTAGTTTATAGCCACAGAACTTGCCATGAGCTTAGAATTCATCATAAAATCCATATGGGGGAAAAATGAAATTTTTTGGGCTCTTGCTAGTTATTATTATTGTTTTTTTTTTTTAGTTTATTTGTTTGAATTTTTGTTTTATAATTAAATTTCATGTGACCAAACATTTTTCTTTTACTTTTACAGCCAGACGGCAATGGAATTTTGAAATCAGACCAAATGTCTTGGAATTCTGATGGTAAACCAGCTAAATCTCCAGAACCAAAGAGTTTCAGCCAACATTCCTCTTCTCGGAGCAATTTGCTACCCACAGCTCCTGAGGAAGATCCTTTCTTTGATGACCCATTCTTACCTGCATCGTCTGGACTGAAGACTTTTGGTCGGTGAGTGGCTTTCTTGTGGTATAGCTATATATTTAGCTAACCCCTGAGGCTGATGTGTTTGTCCCGTTTTGATTGTAGATACTACTTGGTTACTTATGTGAATCAGGTGCAAGGATTTTACAGTTCGTTTAGTCTTCTTTTTTCACTGTACCAATCACTTTACGTTCTGGAATTGTGGGTGGGGGAATATAAAATCATTTGATCAAAATGTTTGAAAACAATGAATTTAAAAGTATTTTAAGAATTTAACATTTAAAGAATTTGCATTCCATGTCTGTCTATCAATCTCTATATAGAAAGTGCTTTAATTGCTAGATCATCCACAGTAAATTTGCGTCCAGGTTCTTACGACATTTCACCTTTCTTGGCAGATCTTCTATTATGACAATATGCAATATTTAATAGCAAAAGCGATAAGACATAAGCAAAAAAGGAACTACATGAAACTGGCTAGACTACATTCCGAAAACATGAATTAAAAAAAAAAAAAATATTTCAATTTAAATGTGTCAAATTTGAGTTTCCCTTCCCTTTTGTGCACATGGGTAGTTACATCACTTTAGTCTGATGAAAACCTAAAGGACGAAATGCATCAGACCAAAATTTTTTTTTTACATCTTTTTCACTTTGTCATTCATTTTCTTAACATTGTTCTGGTATATAAAAAAATTTATATATCACTTTTTCCTATATATATATATATATATATATATATATATATATATATATATATATATATATATATATATATATATATGGTCATGCACAGACAGACTGTTTCATTGTATCACAGCTCACCAGTGTAGCTAGACATATGATTGTTTCAAGCTGGGATTGAAACCCGAACGATTTGGCATCAGTCAGAGATTCTACCCTCAAGCTATCATCATATAGCAGAGAGAAAGGGAAATTGTAATGTTTTTACTATATGAAAGATGTCAGTGACTAGGAGAGCTCAATTCTAGTTGAAAAGTATTGCATTAGCAGCAGCACATATATATATAATTATTTATATATTATATGCGCAGTACTTATTAGAAAGCGCTCAATATCAGAGATAGAGCTAACATATTAGTATATATATATATATATATATGCGCCAAATGTTTGGGGCCACTCTTGGGATGTCAAAGAATTGCCTAAAAATTGAATGGTTTTGTGCCTTTTTCAAAACTAATTTACTAGTTTCTTTCAGTGCAGAGGGACTTTTCTTCCTGAAGTGTTTTATCATATAATCCAATAATAAGAAAATTAACCAATTACTGCATAAAGTTGCTTAAAATTTTAGCTCTTTTTTTTTTTTTTTGTTTTTTTTTTTTGCCTAATCTATTTTGCTGGCTAATGGTAGTGTTAGGCTGGTGGATTTAAAATTTTAAGTACCCACCTCCCCCCAAAAAAACAAAAATTAGATGCCATGCACTAATGGCTTAAATACTTTTAGCATCCTAGCTTACGAGTTAATTAAAGCAAAGACGTCATGAAACTTAATTATTAAATCCAGAGGGTGAAACTGAAATATTGTGTGTGTGTATATATATATATATATATATATATATATATATATACACACACCCAACGTTCATTTTTTTTTTTTTTTTTTACTTATTTACAATGCCATTTCATTCTTAGTGGTTTTTCAAAATGGGTGGCTGTTTATTAATAGTGTTTCTTTAAAAAAAAAAAAACAAAAAAAACATAAGAACAATAGATCTTGGAAGTGGCATTATTAATAAACAGCCAAGCAATTTGAAAGATTGCTATGCATGAAACAGTGCAATAAATGGTCAAATAAAACAATAATTTAAAACAGTGTATTTATCATATGCATAAGAAAGTAAAAGTATATACAAATATATATATATATATATATATACATATATATATTAATTGATTTGCAAGTTGAAATGTAACATTCCTTTGGAGTGAAAAATTGATGTCTACAACTGGATTGCAGATTTCCCAAAATATTTTTTTTCTGAGTTTGTAAGGGTAAAAAAAAATTAATAACAGATTGAAAATTATCCCCGGCTGTATAAAAGCTTACTTTTCCTGTGTGTGTGTGTATATATATATATATATATATATATATATATATATATAATATGTTTATATTAACAATGAATATTTTATTAACACCACCACTATATGTGTGATATAGTATAATTATATATAATTTGTAGTCTAAAAGAAATTAGCTTATATTTGTTTATGATAACTTTCCAATGAGGAGGAAAAAGAAAAATAGAGAATATATTTTTGGGGAAAATTATTTTGCAAAATTGTTTTTAGAGCACACAAATATTTTTCTTGTCCCAACAATAAGAAAGAAATTGTAGTCTTATGCTGAATGGTTACAAATGGTAATTGTTATTATAAAAGATAAATCCACTGAACAGAAAAGAGATTTTACAAGTTATATTTTTTTATATTGTCTAATGAACTTAACGTAGTTCTGTAAAAAATTTTGTGATTCTTCCAGAGAAATATTATAAATTTAAGCAAATGATGTTTAAAATATTTATCGATTTCAAATTTTTTTTTTTGTTCAGTCTTCATCTTAACAAAGCAATAAAGTTATGTAATGATTTTACATCTTCACCTTGAAGAAAGTGATGCTAAATTAAATGTGAATAATTAATTTAGTAAGAGAATTTAATTTTATTTTGAGTTTGTAAACTTTAGTTCTGCACAATTTGTAGCAACATGTCTTCCTAGTGATTCTTGTTAGAGACAACCTCATTTTCCTCATGAGAAATGAAAGATTTAAAAAAATAATAATAATAATCTTCCCCTGGCTCTAATTAATAAACATAGCATGTATAGTAAACTATCCTTAATTATATATATATATATATATATAATATTATTAAATATAACAAACAATGAATGTCTATTATGTCTGATCATGAGCCATTCTAATATTCAAATGTTTGCTTTAATTTCTGATGAAAATAAAGACATTAAAAAAAACATAGCTATGTACATAATATTAGACAGATCTTAGTTGATAACACAATAATACTCATGCATACACACAATAAAAAGAACCTTCAGATATTGGAGGCCATCTACATTAAAACAAAGCAACCCACACTCAACAAAATTACATTTTAAACTAATCACAACACATTACATTGCAGCTAGATGTTGGTTCTGTTATAATACTTTGATCTATCGTGTGGTATGACATCATAGAACTGCATCTTGAACTTATGATCTGCCTCTGCTATTCCACGACCGTTAACGTCGCATAGCAATTTTCTATGTCAAAATAACAAGATATCATCTTTGACGATGGATATCTTTGTTTCATGCCTGTATAACCACTCTGAGGATGGTTCATGTGAGCTAAAAGCTTAGGACCAACTTACTAAAAAATATCCAAATGAAAGGGAATCCTTAAAGGTATATAAAATGATATCAACTTTGTTCATACCTGTTTTACGGAGAGCAAGCACCAGACACAAACCCAAGAAACATTTGTTAAAGAAAATCTGAAAACATTTGAATAGAGTGTCAAAGACTGGGGGGGGGGGTGCAGAAGAAAAATCATTCTGGTTGGAGGTAGTTATTTTTTTGATGGTTGCAATCATTTTGAGGTCAAAAAGGTTGAACAGTTTTGAAGTTGAATAGGAAAGAGTGATGTAGACTCGATCCTTGAAGATATTCAGTCTGAGCTTGTCTGTAACATCTGTGGAAAGGTTGTCCTATCTTGTTGAATTTGCTAGTCATCAAAGATTTGACAGTCTAATGCCAACTGTTTCAACTTGATGCAGGCATAAGTAAACCAAGTAGGAAAAAAAATGTCGATTTGGGAGAATAAAATACACATGAAATAAGAAATTAGAATTCTTTTGAAAGTATAATATTTACAATAGTTATTAAATCCAATTACATTTGTTTGACGTTGGATACTAAACAAGAAACTTCTTGTATACAGAAAGCAAACCAGTCCCTTTATGAATTTAAATGTAAAAATTGTGATACTTTTAGAATATCATTCAAGCCATTATCCATTCTGCCATTGCACATCCAAGCTTACAGTACCTGAAATTCCAAAGTGTCACCCATCTAGTTACTGACCTAGCTCAACATTGCTTAACTTCAGTGATCGTATGGGAGCCAGTGTTTCAATATAATATGGCTGTAAGCCTCTCCAGGGTTGAGCTTTTGAAGTTGAAAAGGGCTCTTAGGAAAGGGTGATGTAGACTTGATCCCAGATGATGATATTCAATCTGATCTTGTCTGTAACATTTGCAGGAAGGTTGTTCTATCTCGTTGTTGGATTTACTAGGCGTCTCAGATTGCATGAAAATCTGCAGTCAAATGCCAACTGTGGTAGACCTGCAGAGTACTTATACCATTTTTTGATAAAATTTGCCGGTCTGACATTGGACTGAAGCGGCACATGTGAGTGTACGAGGAAAAAAATCACTTTGAAGACTCTCAAAAGGTCTTTTGTGTGTCACATATATGAAAAGAAGGTAGTGAGGCTGGTTTGCAAAGCCATCTGCAGCTCCATGGCCGCTCAGTTCAATGTTGAAGAAATGGCCTTCTTTAAAAAAAGTGGCAGTTATCATATATAGATACCAAACTTTGTTGGTAATGGTTTTTTTCTTGAGTAAATGTATGGCAGAACAGCGCTTAGGAGAAATAACAGAAAGACAAAATTTATTAAGAACTACAAGTGACAGGAAGTTGTGGAGAGCCATGATCGCCTGTGTCTTGAGGGAACATGGCATATAAAGAAGAAAAACCTGGTCATTTTTTTTCCTCTCTACTTTTATTCCTACAAAAAATGCATATTTTTTTTCCCTGCATTACAAAAAGGTGATTTAAATTTGAATCTTGGAAGACGATAATCTCTGAAATATATAATTTCAATTAAAAGGAAAAATAAATTTAGTATTCCTGAAATTTATTGAGAAATCAATTGTCATATGTTATGTTTATATTTCATTCCTGAAGAGTGACCACACCAATTGCTAGAAAGTACTGTATTTTCCAGCTTACAAAATGCACTTTTTTTCCTAAAAGATACCTTAAAAAATACATGTGCATCTTTGAAGATGAATGTAAGGCAATGCCCAGGCTCAAGTAAGCTTGGACGGTCACCTAATTGGCTTAACTGATAGGAACGTGGATTTGCATGTTGAGCCATTAGCTATCTAATTCGGTCTTTTATATGATGTAACCTCAGTACTTAGCTGTTACAAGTTTTTCCAAGACTATAAACCTTCCTGAAGCCAAGCCACAAGCTTAAACATGGTCTGTTTACTAGCAGCAGTGGGAGCCTTTCTGCTCTTGACTAGTATGTCATTGCCATACAAACAAAATTGGACGAGTGATTAATGTAAACAATGCATGGTGCCGGTATGTGAGGGACGCATGGTGAATGTATTGTTCTATGAGAATGACTTTTTTTTTTGCCTTTAGAAATTTCTTTCCAATATTAGGGTGCGTCTTTCAAGCTGCAATGTCTTGTAAGCCAGAAAATACAGTAATCAGAATATTTCTTTCACCACTGCCAATCCCTTCAAGGGAAAATACAGTAATCTTTACGGAAGAAGAAAAAAAAAATATTTTTGATATATTTTTAAAAAATAATGGAAACATCTATTTTTAAAATCTTCATTTTTTTTTGTTTTTTTTGTTTTTATGTTTTCTCCTAAAAGTCTTTTCTATTTAAAAATTTCAACTCTTGAATATTTTGTAAATGATGAAAAATTCACAATTGCAACCATAACAGCCTGAAAGAGTTGTATTATTAAAACCCTTTAGCAAAAGACCCTTGCTATCTGCAATACCTCCTCTGCTGATTGTGATATACACAGCTTTCTCTGCTTTTAATGGCCATGTGTCAACCTAGCTGACTATATCAAACTAGTTGACTATAAGCATTTGGCAGTGATTTTGCTCAGAAGTTCCATTTTTTTTTTTTTTTTTTTGTTTTTTTTTTTTTTGCAAGTCCTGGAATTCTCAAAGTTTATTTCTATTAATCTTGCTGGAGATATTGAGTGGAAGAAAATTGAAGACACACATGGAATGACTTTGATTAAAAGATTTTTACGACAAGAAAAACAAAAATAATTTTCTTCAGGGTAAAATCATGTTCAAACATTGATGTTTCTTTTTTTTCTTTTTTCATTTTAAAAATAAAAACAAAACAAAAATAAACAAATTGACCCGTTGAGAAATCCCCCCCCCCCAAAATCTTTTACCAAAAGAACATATTTAAAAAAAAATGTGCCGTCTTTCTTGTGTATTCACAATGATCATTTTGCCAGCCTTAAGAAAAAAATTAATTCTTTGTTCAGTTTTTGACGAAAAAAAAAAAAGAAAAATTAACAAGAAGTGTTTTACAGATTTCAATGCTTTTAATTTAATTTCTAGTTGTACAATTCTGTGAAAGAAAATTGATAATTGTCTTTTTAGCACTTTTTAGGTATAAGCCAAAACATAATAAAGCCAGGCATACATCACTGACACCTTGTCACGGAGCCTTTGAAGAATGGATGTTAATAACGAACCCTAATTTTAGATGCACTGATTTCAAGAGAATTAGTCTAGAATACGGTTTCAACAGATATTTTATAAAGGGGTCAGATTAGATTTTAATGTATAGAGTGGACATCAGAATTAACACTGCATGGTGACTCCCAGTTTCACACTTCACTATGCAGTGTTGATTCTTTTGTCTATACTGTTTATGTTGGTAACACTCTGTTTCTAATACTGGACACTCTTTTCTTATAAATATAGAAAATTCTAACTAATATATATATATATTCATTCAAGCAATTTTTTTAAAGTCACCCAATAATTTCCTATATATTTTCTCAATTTTCAATTAGGTGATATAATATTATTAGGTATTATAAGATATCAAAATATTATTAGGTATAATAAGATATAGGTATATTATTAGATATTATAAGATATCAAAATATTATTAGATATTATAAGATATCAAAATATTATTAGATATTATAAGATATACATTAGGAGCAAATTTGTGGATAAACTGTTTACAGTTCCAGTTTTGTTCAAGTACTTTTGGTCAACTCGGTCATTTTCAAGAACCGGATGTTGTCAGTATAGTATTCTTCCTTAAATATACTGTGATTTTTTTTTTTTTTTTTTTTTTTTTGAAAGTAAGTTTACCCTGTACAAGGTCCAAGGACCATCTGAGGTAGGTAGAGGGTTACATTAAGGGATAGTTCATTATATGGATAGGAGCGGGGAAGATAATGGTTGACTCTAGACTTGAATAGGTTAAGAGTGTAGCGATTGTAGAAACATCCCCTTGGGAGTCTGTTCCATAGGGCAGTGGTTCATAGGAAGAAACTGTTTGAGTGGGACTTACTTCTTGCCAATGGAATACAGAAGGAATGTCGGTGATTTGCTACAATGTAAATGGCATGGTGGGTCAGACCTGGTGGAACCAGAAGATGCAGAACTTTCCATGGTAACTGCAGGAAATTCTGCTGCTGCTGCTTAATTTAAAGACAATTTGATGTACGTAGGTCCTTACTTTCCATACAAATAATTATTTTTTATTTCATGGGTGACTTTCACTGGATTTTGCAATTAATTTCAATTATTCCCAAATTTATATCCAAGTTATAAAAATTATCGTACAAAAAGATTTGTTGCAGAAAATCATGTAAAAACAAAAAAAATCACCAAAAACAATTGCAGTAATGAAAACTTGGGAATCCAAAATTTCAGGATTGCATGTCTGGATCCAGCCCAGAATGTTTTTAATTTACTAACAGAGTTTCCAAAATAGTATTATATGTTGGGCTATGGCCTCTAGGAGTAAAGTTGAAAAAGTGTGACATACACACATTATATATATATATATATATATATATATATATATATATATAAAAGTGGCGACTCTGGTTGTCAGGCTTAGCTTGAGTGAGTTTCAAGTATATCTATTTCAAAGCAGCAAAAATCTTTTGTAGTGCGTTGTTTCCATTTGTGGCTTCAGTTGGATCCAAAATTGTTTTAACTCTGTGCCTCAAAATATTGACTGAAATACATTTTGTTGATATTCATAATAAGGAAGAAAGAAAGTAAAAAAAAAAAAAGAATGAAATAAAATTAACATGGCTAGTTGAGCTGTGTAGATTTGAACCCTATCAAGCTGGAGACATACTTAATAGGCAATGTATTTCTTGCTTTAATTGTATAAATAATCTTTTAAAAATCTCTAATGACTTGTATGCCCTATTTTTTCAAAGAACTCATTTTTATTTCAACTTATTGTTTTCCTATGTCCATTTTAAATAATTTATTCCGTACACTATAAGATTTTTTAGCAGAATGTATCAATTGAAAAAAAGCAAATTAAATTTATCTCAACTTAAAATCGGCAAAAATCAAAGAATGCCTTAAACAGGTGGATTGGGGTGAGGAGTGTGACTAGGGTATTGTTGAGGAAGTATATCAATCAGCAGTATTGAGCATAAATGTAAAATTCACAAAGAAACATAAACACACTAACTTATACATATATATACAAACACACACTCGAGATACACACTTTTTTTTTAAAAAAACATATCTGGCTTGAGATTTTTAAAATTTTTATATTTTAGTTATAGTAAAGGAATCATTTTAGCATCTAAGTTATACCAATCGTATATTTTGTTAAAGATTGTAATGAGCCTGACAAACATTGATGATCTAAAGTTGCCACTGAGATATGGCGGCTGTTGACTTGCAAAGCGAGTATGACCATCACTGACATGTCCAGCCCTTCACTTAACTAACTCCTCCCACCCACAAAACTGCATTCATCGGTTGTGTGAACAATAGTGGCTCATAAAGCCAGTCATCAATCTGCATTTCTTGTCACACATATGGCATATCAAATCATCTCTGGGTGGTGGAAGGAGACCTTGATCATCATCACTTCCAATGTGCCCTTTCATATGCCTTGTCAGACCTGACCTGTACCTTAGTTCAGGTCAGTTATTCAAAGCAGGCCATTATGAAATTGCCATATGCAATAGACTGTTGGTGTGACTCTGGACAGACCTATCTGATTTTATATATATATAAAACCATAATAAAGATTGTGTTTAGCAGTACTTTTAAGGCAAGTGATCTTTGTGATGAAATGACTTACTTATCT